GAGAGAGAGAGAGAGAGAGAGAGAGAGAGAGAGAGAGAGAGAGAGAGAGAGAGAGAGAGATGGGAGAGAGGGGGAAAAAGAGGGGGAGAGAGACAGAGAAAGAGAGAGATCTCCCTAGTTACTAAATTTGAGGAGAAATGGTTAGCAGGAACTAGATGAAAAGGGTTAAGTGACTTGACTTCCCCCAAACAACTGGTTGTTAGACTAAGGAAAGATTAGTGAGTCTGTGAGAAGAGAGTTGGAGCAAGCCTGGGCTAAGCCAGGCACACAGCTCTGTTTAGCACATGCCCGCCCTTCTTACCAGCTGGCCTTACAGGCAATAGTGCTCGGTAAGTGACCCCCCTTCAGTCAGGAGCAGCAGCTGACAGAAACAGACTCAATTGCCCAGGATCTATTAGCGACTTGATTTGGGGACAATTCTTTAGCCTTCTTGTGATGTCTTGGTGGTGAGCACACATGCATTTTCAACAACAAAAACACATTTATTTTACTACCAAAGACTTGTACACAGTTCCTAACTAGTCAAGCCACAGCCAGCTCTCTGATGTTACTCAAATAGCACCATTACTATTCCTTCAGAGTTGGAATGGGTGAGCACATGACATTAAAATGAAAAAATAAAGCCGTGTTTGATGATTGAGAAAAACTTGTATGTAGGAAAAGTAAAAGGGTACAGGGTGTCTCTGTAAAGGGGGTTTTGCCATAGTAGTAATTTCATTTAAATATCTCCAAATATCAATTTGTAAAGTTAAATATATTTATTTATATTCTTTGTATGACTGTTTTGTCTGAATGTATATATGTGCACCGTGCACATGACTGGTGCCTGCCGAAGCCAGGAGAGGGAAATCATATGCCCTGGAACTGGACTTTTGGGTTGTTGTGAGTCACCATGTGGGCGCTCACAACTAAACCTGCCTCCTCTGAAGAGTTCTTTAATTGCTGAGACATCTCTCCAGCATGCACACACACCCAAATTGATAAATCTTTATGTTTAATTTTAGTTTACTTAATCATATCCTTTCCCTAACCTTTGATTTACAAAAACAACTACATCTAATACTTAAGCCATAAAATCAGGAAGCACTGTGGCCATTCCCAGACAAGAAATCTGAGGTTGTCAGTCAACCGTCTAGTCCGGCACAACCTATCTGAAGCAACACTGTATTGAAGAAGAGACCTGAGCTAGCCGTCAGAACGGTTTCCACTTTCTTGCCACACTGGCAGTACCAAGTCACCTCGCCTTAGCTGCACCAGCTTTTCACTGAGTATCATGGATTACACAGCAAAGCAGACTAAATCAGTAAAATAAAAGGTGCCTTTTCTAATTCCACAGATTAAGGTCAAACACAAAAATGCTCAACAAGAAAAGTCTCTTCTCTATCACCATGAAGATATTCATTTGGCAGAACACAGACTTTCTAAACTGTAAAACAAAAGCAAGTTTTAAAAGACATGCTCTGGAAACTAGAAGTGTTTCTGCATCCAATGGCCAATTATTTGAAGTTCAAATTCCTGATGTCAGCTCATGCAGACAAAGGGGTCCCTACTGCTCTGAAGAGCTTCTGGCTTCAAAGTCCCAAGACAGTAATTTAAGCACATCTACCTCCTCCCTGTAGACGTACAGACTTCTCAACATCGATTTGCTACATGTCAACTGCAAGATCAAACAGGGCATCTACTAACACGCTAGAGGGGAGATTAACAAGATGGGAGGGCCAGGGAAAGCTACTAGGAAAATACGTCAATGCACAAAAGAGCCGTCCGTCCACAGCTCATCTGCTTGCCGTTCGCTCGTCCCGGCACAACACTGCCCAACACTCCATTTTTACTGGCACGGTCAGTCAACGTGGAGATGTGAGGCAGATGGGCACAAAGGTACCTCTTCCCCTGCCCTTCACCACAGCTACAGAGAGAGGCACACATACTGAGTGAGAGGCAGCTAGAGACATTCTTCTCTCCAGCTCAGAATGCCAGGTTCAAAAACAAAAAAAAGGCACTCGGGAGCCTTGCTCACTCCGGAGGCTTGCTGGAGAGCCTTCCAGCAAGGGTGGGGTGCCCTTCCCTCAGCCTTCAGGGCCCAAGGACAGCCCTGATCTCTGGATGGTTGGATGGAATCAGAAAGTATCTCAAGTACCCGGATACCAATTATTTTCCCCATGATTTGAGGACGCAAATTGTGTCATAGGAAGAAAGAGCTGGTATCCAAGTTTCTCAAGGCACTGGTGATTTCCTCCAAAGCCCAAATGAGACCCTACAACTTGGGGTAACAGATAGCAAACCTTCCCTAGCGGCTTTCTCTCAAACCCACAACCAGTGTTCTCTCGGTCTAGGGAGGGGGATTCACTGCATCTGCATCAGTGGAGGACACTGGGCCGCTCACTGCTTTACAGTATACAAAGCAAATGCATAAGGATTACTTTACAAATTACTTCATCTTATTATATGTATGGCTATTTTGCCTGCATGAATATACATGCACCACATGTGTGTATGCCCCATGTAGGCCAGAAGATGGTGTCAGAGACCCTGGCACTGGAGTTCCAGAGAGTTGTGGGCTGCCATGTGGACACTGGGAATCGAACCCAGGTCCTTAGGGAAGAACAGTTAATGCTGCTGCCACTGAGCCACCTCTCCAGCCCCACGGGTTACTTTTAAAAGGCTATTTAGTTGAAAGAAAGCTGGAAATTTTCTTTTACAACATATATTTCTATGTCCAAGCTCCTCTCTCTGAGGTTTTAACGTGGTGGTATCTAATTCTTTCATGCAAAGAATTTTTAAAAGCTATGTATCTCAGTGCGTGCATACAAGATGAAAAGTTGTGCTTTTTCCTTGAAAGTTTCCTGGTTTGGTTATCAGGACAGTGCTAGCCTCCTACGCGTTTAGATGAATTCCTTCATCGTCTATTATCGAGTAACAAGGAAAACTGACGATCGTTTGTTCTTCTTTGACTGTTTCATGGCACAGGGCAACGAAGCCATCTGGTCTTGGGCTGGTCTTGGATGACAGACTTTTAACTGATTCATCTTTTATCACTCTGTCATATTTATCTGTGACCAAATACAGACATGAATTAAAATAATTCCCTAGATGATAAAATTAACTTCTGGGGCTGGGGAGACGGCTCAGTAGGCGAGAACAGTTCTGTGCA